GAAACTTTCCTCCATTAGTATGGTATTTTCTTTGAAACGTGAACCATCCCTGAAACTGTATACTTGTAAATCACTACTGTCGACATTGAGAGCTTTGTCCTAGATGTCATTTTGTTTAACAAAGCCTGGAGCATTTTAAGGACGGGTACATAGACAACTGACTGCTTGTCAGTTGTAATGAACTCTACAGGTTCCACAATTTTAAATTCATGGACCATGTAGGAGGCTCTTTTGCATGAAGTGGAGAGGGAACCTCCTTTCTGAGTGTGCTTCACAATTACATTGCTCTCTGAGACTGCATTGCATCAGGACAGTAGTTCAGGAGTACTCTCTGAATAGCAGAAAAAAGTAAAGGTTTTGAGAGGTCCATTATCTGGTTTATTTCCTGTATTACATCTTGCAATGCAGTCTCAGATATGCTAAGTATTGTGCACATTCTAAGGAAAAGGGCTGCCAAATTATGCTTAAGCTGACACTGCAAGTCATCGATATTGTCATCATTAAAATCATCATCATCTTTAAAATCATCTGTCTCTTCTATGCCTCTTTGATTTTCAGTCTGAGCAACTTCCACCACATTTTCAGTATGTGTTAAGATTCCTGGTTCAAACTGCAACTTGCTGTGCATCTCTCTGCCATCATGGCTCCTGCTTTTATGGGCATTAAACGTGGTATAGACACTGGTTTCAAAATGGCATTCCTGGTAGGGGCACTGGACTTTTTGGTGCATCTGAATATGTGTACGTAAATGTGAAAAAAAATATTTAGTATAAAATAGTCTCAAGGTTGAGAGTGGAACACATTTTTTGTGGCATCACTAGAATTGTCATTGATCTGGGAATGCACTGTTGATAGATGAACCTTCAGTGCATTAAAGGACTTAAATGTGCAAAGGCACTCTTTATGAAGACATGGTACTGGCAATGTTCTAGTGTGACCACGACATGTTTCAATCTATAATGTCTAAGTAGGTGCCCTCTCTTTTCAAACGCAAACTTGCAAAACTTGTCCACTGCCAACTCACTGTAGGGGTTTGTTGCACAAAACAGGCTGTAGACACCCTGTTTTCTTCTTGCTGAAAAGCAAAAAACTCACTACACATAGCCTGTATTTTTTAGTTCTGTAATTAAAATATTTATTTGGAAATAACAAAGAATTCTGGCTTAAGTACACACTTCAAATATTGTATGACCTGGTCACAATACCTTAATCTAAATATTAAGTTAGCATTCATTCTAGTTCAGAAAACATTAACCACATTTATTGGCATGCAAATCACATCAAGAATAATCATCATGAAAAGGCAAAATGATTACACTGCAGTGCATGCATGGAGTAAAATTTTAAAAGTAAATACAAAAGTATGACGAAAATTCATTTATTTCACATAATGAGGGGAAAATCAGGGTGAAATGTTGAGAAAATCACTACTGTAGTCAGAATTTTTTGAAAAGGCTTCGCATACGCCAGCTTCTTACTCGACTTTTACGTTCCATCTTAAGAGATGCAGCAGTTACCTTGACGGTGCGGCAGCGCCATAATGCAATCGCAGCGGCATTTAAGATGGATGGGGAATTTGAAAAAGAAGCTTGCAAATCTCAGCTTCATCCTCTTTTCCACAACGCTCTGTAAAAATGGTTTTGGTTTACGTTCTTTGTACTGATTCTAATCCTTGTTATTGCTAATCGAGCCATGAAGAAAATGAAGACCTGCGGTGCTGGACGGATCCAAAACAGTTGTGCACACATTGGCTAGCGAGCAGCATTGTTTAAACGTTAATTAAACAAACAAACTACTCAAACTTGGACTCTTTCCTGTGTTACTTCTCCGTCAAACTGTCCTTCAAGCCAGCTACAAAGAAAAAGAACGGACTCTGACAGAATTGAAGAGTCAACTACAAGCATTTGGACTATTAATGTCGTTGACCATGAATCGACCCTGACTCTCAATCGTGTTGGAGTCGAAGAACTGACTCCCACATTACTACGCGCATGCACAAATAGCTCGTTAGCTACGTGCGCACCCTCACCACCAAGCGCTACATTCTTTGAAACTATGCCTATCAAATTAAAGTTAACTTAATAAAAAATCTCAAGAAAATTGGATAGAAGAGAAATCATGGATGTGTAGGCTATGGTTCGGCGTATCAGCTAGCTAGCTAATGTTAGTCAAATTTAGCATTAGCCTATCATGAATTTATATTTGGTTTATCTCTATAAACCGAATGCGTACTGCAGAGCTTGAAAGTGTCAAGTGTAGTTTAACTTACTCAAATGTATTTGGTTTTAGAACTCTTTCATATAAAATGAGTACATTACTTAAATTACATGGGTTTAATCACTAGGATAGTATGAAATAAGTAAAGTTCACTAATATTATTTAAGTAAAGAGTTGTGTTACTTTTTACAGTGTACAGACATTTTTTTTTTAGTTCTCAAGAATTGTCAGTCTTTATCTGAAGGCCTAGAAGGCCTTGACGGTTCCCTTCTGGTTACAGTGGGGTCAATTTGACAGAAAATGAAACAATCAAAGTCTTTGGTCAGGCTCTATCGAAAGTTGGAAAAGCTGAATGACATTAGTAGCTTGCTGCTCCTCACTCAAGGACAAGAGGGAGATCAGCTATATGACACCACAACAAAAATGGTGACGTAATTAGACTTTATTTATTCAAAATATTTCAACAGTACTGGACATGTACACCGTATTGTAGCTCACAGGTCTTAGAAGGCCTCCCTTAAATAAAGCAGTACTGAGCAGCACGTTACTAGCAGTAATTTGAATGTACTGGCTTGACAAAGCTTTATAAGAGCATGCTGTGTGCTCTGAAAACTGTTAGTTATGGCTTAATACAGAAAGATTTAACTAGCTACTGGTTTGCTAAGGTTTATTATAAGAGCATTATAAGTATATCCCCCACTATAAATCCCCTGCTCCCCTTACTGAAGTGATACCAATAAATCTTCTAAATTGCACAGAGCAGGACAAAAAAAGAGAAAACATCCAGATATGGACTTAAATTGGACAGTTATTTTCCTGCCTTTCCTAACCTCTGGCCCACCCAACCTTAGAACAGTCCCTTTAAATAAACACAGGATATCCTAAAACTGCTTAAAAATGAAAGGCACAGCAGAGAGGATGTAAGAATTTCCAAGACTCAGCATCAAACTGCATGTAGTGATCTGGGTTTCCAGATGTGTTCCTTAGAACCATTTTGGGTTTCCTAAAAAAAACCTTTCAAATGATGGTTCTTTAGAACCCTATTTGTAAATAAAAATTTTAAACTTGACTGAGCCTCAATGTAAATTGGTATTGAACCATTGCAGTATGTTAAAGTTCTTTAAACCTTTGAAAGGTTCTTCACACTCGCAGATCTCTTTGTTAAACATGGGGCTTTTTACTGAACTAAATACGGTTCTTCTATGGCTTAAAGAACACCTTATGGCACCTTGTTTTAAGAGTGGAGGCTAGACTGGGTGTATGTGTTGGATCTAACCCCTTCAGAGTGCTAGCTCTCCAGGACCAGGAAGGGAAGGAAGGACCAGGGCTGCTTGTGAAATAGATGTTTTTCAGTTGACCGCAAGTCACTCAGCATTTATCTGCAGATGTGCAGATAAATGCTGAGTGAAAGTAAAATTGACATTTTTCCAATGAAATCCAGGTTGTCAACACCACTAATGAGATGCTGTAAATAAGGCATGTGTGAACACAGTTCGTTTTGGCTCTTGTTAGAGTCTGGTTAGAGTTGTCCAGATGCAAGTTATGTGACGTTCCAAACCCACTTGTGGCTTTGGTGGTTAAAAGAGGGAAGTAAGGTAGAAACAACTTAACACAAATAATTTTGGTAGCACTTTATTTTATGGTACAGTAAGTTCCTAATATTTAATAGGTAAAAATGTGGTATGTACAAAGTAACTTTTGGGTATATACTTTTTCCCATACATAGTATGTACCACAGTACTTACTTAGAATTGTATTCAGTTGGTGCTCTGTTAAAAATTAAAGTCAGCTCACCTTAAAATTATAAGGTTGCTTTTCTTGAGGTAACTCAATGTGAGGACACCAGCGTTAACACAGCTCGTCTTAGTTTAGTCAAAAGTTCTTCAAACTCTCATTTTTAGTTCTGCAGTTAAGTAAACAATGTAGAAAGTATTTTTTTTTCTTAGTCATAATCCCACAAGGCATTTTCTCTTCTTGGGCTCCCAGTTATGTATGGCTGTGGCAACACTGGGGCTCAAACTCAACCTCCTGAAGGAGTGAATGCTTAGTCTGTTGCATCACTTGCATGCTCACGTAATTGTTGTGTTCTTAAATGTTAAATAAAGTGTAAAAAATGTCTTAACTTTTAAAAAGTAATGTAGTAACATGTGATGGTCTAGGAATTCAACCCAACATCAGGAGGTTGTGAGTTTGATCCCCAGTGATCCCACAATTGTCCATAACTAAAGGTCCAAGAGGAGAAACTGGTTGTAAAGTGTAATTGAAAGAGTTCCAGTTAGCAGGGAAACTGAGTAAAAACCAAATGCTATCCTTCTTATTTTATCCGTGACCGCTGTGTCTCAAGAGTCTGAAATATCCAGTTAGGGAATGGACGTTTCGTTCATTACCAGTTTGGCACAGTCAAAGAATTAAATGAGGCATTTTTGGTGCAACGTGCAGCTTGCAGCTGTCACATCAAAATAAGATAAAATCAGACAAGATAAAATCAGCAGACATGTGAATGTGGCCTCATAATGACTCCTTGAAAGAAAACAGATGTTAGTGTTGAAATCTGAGCCTATAAAGTACAGCAAAGTGACGAATTGGTTGTTGCTAACATACTCACTTTAACTGGTTTACACTTTAAATTCTCTTTAAATCTAGACATAGTCTGCTATCTCTAGATTAGCCTGAGCAGGTAGCAGAAAGCTAACCAGTTAACAGGATAATGGTACAAAAAAACACAGGTTTCAAGTTGAAGCCTTTAAAGAAGATACCTAAAAACAGAGACATTCAAAGTAATCAATGTTACTTAGAATCAGAATCACTTTATTTCACCAAGTATGTTACAAATACAAGGAATTTGTGTTAGTGATTGCTAACAGACCAGCCAGCACACAGACAATTAACAAGTATTAAACTAAGAGAAAAGTCAAATAGAAAATAAAAAAATAATAGTAAAAAAAACAGCCAGTGTGATGTACATATTAGTCGTCTAAATATCTGTACATATGCAGGTCAAGGAGACCTATATATATATATATATATGTATATATATATATACCTTGCTTTGTGTGCTGGGGCTCAATCATGCCGGAACAGAAAAGGTTATTTATCAAACTGTTACAAAGTTTGAAGCATATGATTGTCCAAAATGTCTTGGTCTGGATTTCCTTCCACTGGAGCAAAGGGTCCTCGGCCAACCCCTGAAAAACAGTTGGAACAATGCAGTCAGGCAGGTAATGTTCTACTGGCATTCACCAAACCCAGACTGGGGTCAGTCTCACAGGTGTTTCTAACTAGATATTGGTGGTTTGGCAAATTTTTCTTCCACATTATTATAGGGCTTCACCACTCTATGAAAGACTGCATGAGCAAATAGTACAACAATTCAAGAATAATGTTTGTCAACATAAAATAGCAAAGAACTTTTTATCATCTATGGTACATAATAACATTAAAAGATTAAGAGAATCTGGGAAAATCTCTGTACACAAGGGACAAAACCAAAAACCAGTATTTGCTGGCCATGATCTTTAGGCTCTCAGATGGAACTGCATTAAAAACAGACATGATTCTGTAGAGGAAATCACTGCATGGGCTCAGAAACACTTCTGAAAAACACTGGCTGTGAAAACAGTTCGTCACTGCATAAACAAATGCAAGTTAAAACTCTAAAACGCAATGAAGAAACCATATATTAACAGGATCCAGGAATACTGCCACCTTCTCTGGGCCCGAGCTCATTTAAAATGGACTGAGGGGAAGTGGAAAAGTGTCCTGTGGTCTGATGAATCAACATTTGGAATTCTTTTTGGAAATCATGGACACTGTGTCCTCCGGGATAAAGACCACTCAGCTTGTTATCAGCGCACAGTTCAAAAGCCAGTATTCATGATGGTACAGGGGTGCATTAGTGCACATAGCATGGGTGATGTGCACATTTGTGAAGGCACCATTAATGCTGAACATGTTTTGGCAACATATGCTGCCATCCAGATAAGGGAAGGCCTTGATTATTTCAGTAAGACCATGTCAAACCACATTTTGCATGCATTACAACAGTATTGCTCTGTATTAACAGAGTCTGGGTGGTAAATTTCTCAGTTTCACGATTTGATATGTTGTCTTTGTAGTATTTTTCTTAAAAATATGGTTTACATGATTTGCGTATAATTGCATTTTATTTTTTATTTAAATGGACACTCCAGGTTTGACAGGTCCTGTTCCATATCAGTGTTCTGCAGGATACAGCAGGCCAGTATTTCATGACCACAGACCCTTCAATATCCAGTTATCATGAGCTCAATAATACATGTGCATCACTGTTATCCAGAAGCTCCAGAAGTCTAACAGAAATTATCTTTTCAAATTTCAGTTAGATGGTAGTCTATAAGACAGAAGCAAGTTATAATAGAGTGATCTGAATAATAGGCTATAATAAAACGTTTTACTTTAATTGTCACTGACTAACATATATATCACAAAAGCAGTAATGTCATTGTTTCCCAAAGAACAAAAAGTGTTCTTCAGAAATTATGCATACTTTATGCCCAGTCAGAATCCAGTGGTAGTAAATATATAATATACAATAATGCTAATTTCTGCTAATACACATATGGGATTTCTAATGATATATTAGCACTAATGCTGGTACAAAATAGACTATGGCTTATTTACACATGTAGTGAAGTATCTAGAATGTACAGAAGTACTCGAGTGACATTTTTTGTCATTGGCCCCACCCACTCAAAATTTGATTCCACTGTCAGTTCTTAATAATGTTGATAGTTAATCTAACACATAAAGCCCTCTAGACAGCTCCTGGAGTCCTTACCAGTAGGAGAGCTCAGCTGGCAATCTACCTAGATACCAATCCAGAATATACAATTTTCCAAGAGACGTTTAAAGATTTTAACCTTTCTTTTTAAATGACTAGCACTACAGTACTTAAGTTTAAATACTAGTGTGCATTACACAAAAATGTACTTTATTTTGTCCCAGAAATCATTAGTCCTTCTGTGTGGGCCAAGAATGCATTCAGTGGTCTCCACTATCTGGAACAGATTTACATTTTTCCATTCAGGAATATTTCAAGACTTTGAAAAAGTCAATGAATTTAGAAACTTATATTTATACAAGTAACTTAAAATATGCATACATAAAAAGTCATGTATGTACTATTAAACCCCAAATTTGTTCTGAAATTTTTTTATCTTTTTCAAATCCTGGTGATGAGGCACCACAGGAAGTTCATTCTTTTGATTCTGGCCATGTTTTTGTGCTTTTGAGAAAGGAATTTTTTCCTAGGAGTACTGGAATGTCTGTTCATATGTCTGCCATATGTCTAGGCATATTCCATTATTGTTACATGATGTTGAGTCCCATGCCTTCACTAGTGTTATTTTTTTGGTCAGTCTAACCTTGGAACATCCACTGCATGTTCATTTTGCGTCCCACCAACAGATAGATCACTGGGTTGATGACAGAATGAGCTGCAGCCAACACGGTCGCTGCTGGTAATTGATATTTGAAAAACTCATGTTTTTTTTCTGTAATTTGAAGGAGCCCCAGAACAAGCAGGGGCGTCCAGCAGACAAAGTAAGCCACCTTTATTGCACAGGTGACCCTCTTGAGGCTCTGATTTGGATTACAACCCTGCCGTCGTGCCAGACAGGCACTGATGGTCATCATGAACACTGGAACCAAAATCCCCAGCAGGAACCTGCTGAGAACAACAGCGGTGAAGTTTTTCTTGCCATAGTCTGTTGTCCTCTCTTTATTCAAATCGTAGTCATCGATGCACTCCTCTCCAAGCTTTGTGTAGCGAAGCTCTCGGGAGAGCAGAGACGGGCTGCTGACGATCACCCCAAACGTCCAGGAACTCAGAACCAGGACCAGGCACGTGCCACGACTGTTGCATTTAGCACGAAGGCTTTCAAAGCAACCTCCGATGGTGCCGCTGACGCTCCACAGGCTGAGCAGAGCAGCTGTGGAGAACATGCTGGCGTAGATTATGTAGGATGAGATCTTGCAAAGAGCCTCTCCATAGTGCCAATTGAAGTGATACCAGGCATAGAGGAACTGCAGCACCAGGAACGCAGAGAAGACCAGGTGGGTTACAGCTAGGGCCAGGACCCACACACTTGCTGCGGACTTATGAACTTTGTGGTAGAAGTGGCAGCCTGAGATGATGACGAAAAAGTTGAGAGTCATGCCGAGGGTGCAAACGATGAGGTACATGACGATGTATAGCATGCGGATGCGGATCAGGTAGACAAACTGCACATTGGGTATCTCACTCGGCATAACATAATCCTCATAGTCAGTGGTGTTATAATTATGGTTGTCTGTTGTGTTGGAGGCCATCTTGGGAAGTCTGAAGAAGAGAAAAATATAAAACAGTCAACAGAATGCAAACATGACAGAGTGGCAAATTCCTAGTGCGCTGTCATTAGTGTTAAGCACTATTCGGATGGCATTAGTTTTACTTAAAGAGGCAGGGTAATGTCATTTTTTATTTTGGGCCCATCCAAATGCGTCATGTCAGTCATTTTTAGCGACTACACACTCCAGCGTCCTGCGGCTTTTATTTACTAAAAAAGGAACCGTAGAAATAAATCGAAGTTATATTAGTCCTGTGAGAATCAACGTGTACATGAAAATGCTATCATCTTTTATAGAAAAGGAGCATCTTAAGTATGGAAAAAAAGCTTTTACTTGTATTCTCAGTGGCTAAAATCAAGCCAACATATATTGTTCTACCTCAACTTGGACGATTTAAATGTAAAAATTATGCACTGATGTTGACTGTTGGCTGTGAATTCCTAAGCTAATGACAATGCTAGTGTTAGAAATTGCTTCATAGTATTGGTATCCCCATTGCCAATACTGGTACTCTGCTTAAGTGCCAGTATCGGAACCAATACAAATACAGTATCAGTATCAGTGCAACCCTACTAATGACATAGTGCATCTGCTTAAGACAGCTAGATATATTTAAGGTAAATGAAACAACAACTAAATTAGGTGTTTTTACATGTTTTCCTCTTGTTCCTGGCGTGAAGACAGTTCATAACTCTGTGAGAACGTCTGCCAATATTTCAAAATTTCTGTGTAGTTCAATCAGTGAGATGTAAACAAGAACATTTTGAATGGTTTTGAAGCAAAATGTTTCATTCTGTTGAAAATGACCCAGATTTCTTTACAGTAGTTGTGATAGCAAAAGTTTGTAAAAAGTTTACATGTTTTGCTAGTTGTAGTAAGTGAAAATAAGTTATCACATTCTTTACAAGGAACGTACATATATATACAAATTTTCAGCCAATTTAAAGGCACAGTTTGTATTTATTTGCTAAGTTTAACATAATGGATACAAACGGTAATGGCATATTAAAATGTGCAGAAGTGTGTTCTCTGTACAGAATGTGTTCACTCATTTTCACTTAGAAAATCAACAAAACATTTCATATAACCAGGAGTACAGAAACTTTTGCATATAGCTGCAAGTCTACAACACAATATAGATATTTTATTTGCTATCCAAAACTGTTGTGTCTGATCCACTCAGTCCAGCACAACACACACTAGCATACCACCACTGCCTGCTCTGTGGTGGTCTTCTGGGTCTGTCATAAAAGCTATTTAAATATATATCTATAATATATTTTGAAGTATTCAAGCAAATTGATATTTTTGGGCCAAAGCTGCTACAGTGAGAATGTTATCAGCACATGTCCCAGTTATATCTGCTCATACTTTTGGCCATATAGTGTATATGAACAACTAGAAACTGTCTTATATATATATATATATATATATATATATATATATATATATATATATATATATATATATTTTTTTTTGTACATTTTATATATATTGAAGTTAAAAGTTATTATGAAGTGTTACCATCAGTAAAACATTAATGCTGTAAAATGCTGTCCAGTTTGGTTTTTGTTTAAAGAAAGTAATGATATATGCTACAAACGGTTTGCTTTTAAGCACCAAAGGAGCAATAAACATTTATCAATTAAATAAAAAATCTGCATTTGCACAAAACTTGCGTAGACTTGTTTCTGTGACATCAAAACAGAAAACACTTACTATACATAATATAGACATAACCATAACATAAACATGTCACTGCAGATGTCATAACATCCTTAAATATGGACTATTTTTCTTTTTCAAATGTGCCTTAACTTTTACACAAGCCTCATTTCATGTTCCCAGTAACTGTATATTAAAATGTGCAGAAGTGTGCTGTCTGTAGAGGACATGGTAACTTTTTTTCAGTAATAAAATCGACAAAAACATGTAATTTGAGCAGGGGTGCCTAAACATTTGCTATTTGTTTACAATTATCTTATTGGACACAATCTCTCATGACAAGTCATAACAGCTTAGGACATCTGCCATTCACATTGTTATGTTTATGTCATGTAATGGTCCACCAAGCTCAATTACGTTCTGTGGCTTTTTCTGGCTCTAGATACAACAAACAAAGCACAAAGATCTCCTTACCTCAGGCAAAGGAAGCAGATTTGAGAGGAAAGTAGCCTGCAGTGTGTCCTTCAAGGAGCCGAGCAAAGCTCTGAAGTGTTATGTTTATGTCATGTAATGGTCCACCAAGCACAATTACGTTCTGTGGCTTTTTCTGGCTCTAGATCCAACAAACAAAGCACAAAGATCTCCTTACCTCAGGCAAAGGAAGCAGATTTGAGAGAAAAGTAGCCTGCAGTGTGTCCTTCAAGGAGCCGAGCAAAGCTCTGAAGTGCTTGTGTTGTGCACATTGGCTATCATTCCCTAAAATAACTCCACCCACCCACCCCCCCCAAGCAGGTCCATTGAATTCATGGGCCTGATGAAATGAGAGAAAGACTACTTTACTTTCGATTTCAACAAGTATTGAGGAACTGATGTGAAGCCACACTTTCCCACACCAGCCCTTCTCTGTGAAAGAAAAATGCATTTAAGTTTACTTTTCACAACTGTGTTTAACATGAAAGTATTTATTTTATTATTTTATTTAATTCAATTTTTAATTAAGCTATGACAATATATATTACTTTCATTTCAGAGCTTTTAAGCTGGACCGCAATTAAAATATACTTAAATGAGATTTTAGTATCACTAAGTACATTCAAATGCATTCAACAAATAAAACATGTATTCAAGGCTACTTTTGTAGTACATCATTAAGTATACACTTAAGTATATTATTAGAAATAACAAAATTCAACTTTTATACCCAGTTTTAAACCCAATTCCAAAAAATTTGGGACAATAGATAAAATAGAAATGAAAATTGATTGATTGATGAATCTTTTTGACCTGATCTTTGATCTTTTTTTGTGTATTTGCACAAAAACATATGTAATGTTTTACCTTATGAATTAGATTGTTTGTTTTTTTGTAATAAATGCATGTTCTGAATTTGATGCCTGCAAGATATTCCAAAAAGAAGCTGGGATGGGCAATTTAATACTTGAAGAATTGTGAAATGTTCAAAAAACATCAACAAGTGATCCAATCAAGCTTCAGTATAAATTAAGCGTCCAGGAAAGCTTAGTTAAAGGTTGATCACCTAGTCTAAAAATGCATCAGTAAATAATCCAGCAGTTAGAAAATAATGTTCCTCATCTATGGATTGCAAAAATTTTAAGTATTTCACTCTCTATAGTGCGTCATATTACCAAAAGATTCAGGGTATTTGGAGAAATCTTTGTAAATAAAAGACAAAGCCAAGACTACAAATGTGAATGGCTGTCAGTGAATACTGTCCAAGTTATGACTGTACTAAGCACAACAGATGTCATATGTTGACAGCATGAAGAAACGCTGCCAACTTCTCTGGGCTCAAGTTCATTTGAAATAGACTGATGCTCAGTGAAAACGTGTACTCTGTTGTATAAATGTTGTTTACATTTTGGAGCAACATATTCTGCCTTTTACACACACTGTCTTTTGTCCATATTTATTTCAACAAGTCAACACCAAGCCACATTCTGCACTCTACAAAAGCATGGCTGCATAATTGGAGAGTGCAGGTGCTTGAATGAACTTCCTGCAGTCCAGAACTGTCTCCTTTTAAAAACATGTCTTATTAAGCTCAAATACACAATAAAGGCCTTGTACAGTTGTACAGCTCAAGATATCTATAGCAGGAGGGTGGCAAAACATTCCACTTTCAAAACTAGATCAGTTTGTGTCCTCAGTCCCCAAATGATTACTAAGTGCTGTTAAAAGGAAAAGCAATGTAACACATAGGTAAACATGCAACTGTTCCATCTTTTTGGAACATATTGCAGGCATCATCTTTGGATTATCTCCATAAATATTAGCGCCTCTGGTATTCAGGAGCAAAAGGAGCTGCAAAAAAAAATATCCTAATTACTTATTCTTTTATTCTTTAATTTAAAATATTAGAAAAAAACTACATAATGGCATAATGATTGAAAGAAAAAATTAAATTGTGTCATAAAATAAAGATTTTTCTTAAATATATGAATGCAACAATTGTTGACACCCCTAGAAATTCTTAAAGTGAAATCTTACTGAGGTATATTCCCATTCATATTTTGTGTTAAAGTTCATGTGAGTGATAAGGAACATTTAAATGGTCAGCCATGGCTTCCCGTTTCACTAGGGCATGTATACCAATTAGACATAACATTATGACCACCTCCTTGTTTCTACGCTCATTGTCCATTTTTATCAGCTCCACTTACTATATAGGTGCACTTTGTAGTTCTACAATTACCAACTGTAGTCCATCTGCTTCTCTGCATACTTTGTTAGACCCCCATGGACCCTCACAGAGCAGGTAGTATTTGGGTGGTGGATCATTCTCAGCACTGCAGTAACACTGATGTGGTGGTGGTGGTGTGTTAGTGTGTCCACAGCAGTGCTGCTGGAATTTTTAAACACCTCAGTGTCACTGCTGGACTGAGAATAGTCCACCAACCAAAAATATCCAGCCAAAAGCGTCCTGTGGGCAGTGTCCTGTGACCACTGATGAAGGACTAGAGGATGACCAACACAAACTGTGCAGCAGCAGATGAGCTATCGTCTCTGACTTTACATCTACAAGGTGGACTGACACGGTAGGAGTGTATAATATAGTGGACAGTGAGTGGACACAGTGTTTAAAAATTCCAGCAGCACTGCTGTGTCTGATCTACTCGAACCAGCACAACACACACTAACACACCACCACCACATCAGTGTTACTGCAGTGCTGAGAATGATCCACCACCCAAATAGTACTTGCTATATGAGGTTCCATGGGGTCCTGACCACTGAAGAACAGGGTAAAAGTGGGCTAACAAAGTATGCAGAGAAACAGACTGTTACGGGATGGCGGGGAGGCGGACCCAAGTGCAGAAATGGAAACAGAGAGAAAGAGGGATAAATGAATTTATTTGGGCACTGGATAGTGAGTTTGAAAACGTTGTGACTGAGGTGACCCGGAGCCAGGCTCTAATTGCAACTGTTCTGATCGGCGGTCATTGACGTTACTGCTGCACCACCGGGACACACGGGTGACAACGGGTAAAGCACCTAAAAGGAAGGGGAAAATTAAAAGGCGGGAAACGTCATACAAAAGAAACACTGAAAGCGAGCTCAAACAAAGGTTGAACTAGAAAGGTGAAACAAAAGAAAGAGAAAATGAAATACACCTCCCCTGTAAAAATGAAGGGAAGGTAGACTTTGTTTGAGGTGTTTGCTCTTGGTGGAGCAAACACTTTTTTTTAATTTATTTTTTTTGGCTTTAAGTCGCTTTGGGGCAGTATTCTTTGTAGCCCTCTTTTCTTCTTTCTTTAGTTTTGGGGCACTTTCCTTTCTCTGCCCTCTTTTTTCTTTTTAGTTTTGGGGCAATTTCTTTTCTTAGCCCTCGGTCTTCTGGGAATTGGAGTTCCCTGAAGTTATAGCCCCATGCCGCTGTAGCGAACACTGGCTGAAACCCTACCTCAAGCAGAGTGTTTACCCAAAAGTTAAGGGCCTTTTGGCTCCATCAAGTCTGGGATTGTGGCATAAAGCTGTCGGCTTAATACCCCAACCCCAGACTCAGTCAGATTTATGGCTGAATCAAGAGGCTGCACCCCTCTCCTTTGACCTGGAGAAAAACAGGACCCTTCACTGGAATGCAGCTGCATGGCTCTCCAAAATCCTGTGGACAACTTCTTATCTTAAGTAACAGAAAGTACATTTCTAAGGTGTTTGTCCCCTCCAAACTACAACCATTCGTTAGAACTCTTTTTAACTAAACTAGACATACCAAAACGGAATTTGTACGACTTTGGACGGCAAAATTCCAACTTTCTAAATTCCCTAGGGATCTCAAGCATGGACCCACAGGACCCCCAAGGGGTGAAACCACAAATTACCACATCACCACCATAAGGACTTGTGTTTATAAAAAAAACAAGAAAACTTTGTGCTTTGTCTGCTTGATTCTGCTTGATGATTCGTGCTTTGTCTCCTTGATTATCAAAGTTTCCATGATCTGTAAGTAATACTACTTGTGGTATTAATCTTGTTGTTGGGTAGTACCTAAATATTACCTGTATCTTTTTTTTTATCATTAAGTGCTAGAAATACGTAGAGTATAACTTTGATAACAGTCAGACCCAACCATTTAATTGCTATGAGTTTAGACCATTGACCAAGATGTATCCTGAATGTGGTTTTCTTTTCTTTCTTCCTTTGTTCCTTTCCTTTTATTGTTGATTTTATTTTTTTCATGCATTGGGCCATGTTCAGAGTTGATAGGCAAGTAGTACCTGTGTTCTTTGACATGTATTGTCTATCAGGTAACTAGGGTTAAACTCTGTCTTAGAAACGTGCTTGAATATCTAAATTGTTCATTCCTTGATTTTGAAAGTTAAACCAATTGGATGATATAGAAATGTTCTTTTTCTTTGTTTAAACTAGCTGAAACAAAGGAGGCAGTGATTTTGGGGAAGGCATTCCTCAAACTATGCACAACCAATCAGAGAACCTTATGTGAAGAGAACCTATCAGCGCTCTGGCACCACCTCCAAAGGGTAGGGCCTCCAGCCGAGCAAAACCAGAGTGCACCGCAAATTCAGAGAGTTCCTGCGTTCGCAACAAGTTTCTAAGTTTGTGCCAACCTAGGTCAGAAAGACAGGTCAGAAGTATTAGGATGCTAAATTATCAGATCTGAAACCTTTGTTTGTTTGCCTGTTCGCCTACACACCTTAAGTTTGAACCACCCTCAGAGAAGGAAGGTGGATATTTCTTGTCTGGCCCGGGAGAATATATCCATAACTTTCGATTCTGCTAAAGAGAGGTAGTTAATTAAATTGGTACCACCAGCCTCAGAACCCTGATTGCAACCTGAACCTTGCCAGCAGAGTGGGAGCAGTTCGGACGCCACGGAGACCCAACATCGCACCCAGAGCCACGCACTGATCTGTGAATAGATCGACCCTCGAAAGGCCGCCCAAGCTCCACCGTCAGACGGCTACGAGACGCCTCCGCCCAATCACTGACGGAAAGGCGCGTGCCCGCATGGAGACGCAGCATCCACGGCCAGCTAGAAGAGGAACCACCGCATGAGCTCCAGCCTTCGATCGAGTCTGCCCTGAGACGACCCCTCCTGAAATCAGCCCCCGACTCCCACGTAAGCTGGACCCATCAATTTGCAGTCAGGGCCCTGACGCCAATTTATTTAATAAGAGAACTTTTATAGGTACATCCAGCCATATAGTTCTTCCCGTCCAGGCTTAGGTTAATTCTCTAGAGGCTCTCCCAAGCGAC